TAATACTTTAAAATGATAACTCCATTTATCTGAAATCTCTGAAAGAGCGAATAAGGTAGATTTAAAATAAAATGGTAAAAGGCTCAGAATGTGGTGCAGTGAAAATTCTTGGGCTTTTGATTCACACCAAAGTGAATCCCAATTCCAGAAAATTACTTCGACTTTCCAAGAGTCATTTTTCTCATCTTTAAAAGATGAATATTAAATAACTATCTCAGTAAGCAATATTGGGCATTAATAAGATTGCATGGATAAACCATAGCAACTGTACATGTAGGCATTCAGTGAATGTATTTTGTCTTCCCCAACTCCCAAACACACACAGTCAAGGATATGGGTGATTCTGGTTTACAGACCTATCTAGAAAAACCAACCTCTGACTGTCAACATATCCCCTTGAGTTCTATCAAAGATATATAAAATGAAAGTGTCAGGGAAATAATACACCTCTGTCATAGTTTCATATCTTTTACTTAATTTTGCCAAATGCTTTGATCCAATGACACACCTGAGTTTCTAGAAAATTTGTTGAGTATAACCTATGGCTGAGTCACTGTTTTTCAATATTTAGATCTTGGAACAAGGAAGAAAAAAAATTTCACAGAATACTTGTTAAAGACAGCTTTGAAACTTTAAGAAAAGGAAAAGAAAAAAAGAATGGAATTTTAGAATATATATAATTTTGGAGATTTGTTTTGGAGACATTTTGAGCATGGAAGACACAATGAGGGCAAAAGTTATTTTTATGGTAAAATTGCTTTTGGTGAGTTTGCAAAAGCAAAGTTGGAGAGTTTTTTGAGATCCAAGTGCCAAGATTTATAGACAGCAGCTGGCTAGTATTATCCTCATATTTCCAAGCACAATAGACATATAGAAACAAACTAGTTTATGAATTTAACCTTGAGAGAAAACCAATCAGAAATTCTGCTGCTACCCACTGGCATTTGAGTTGCCCTTTTCCCTTTCCTGCCACCCCTGTCCACTCGTATAACATACTATACTGGTCACCAGGCCTATGAGAAAGGTTTTTCACATTGATGCTCCACTGGCTTACCCCATCAAATGTGAAGGTCAATTCCTCATGGAGCTCTCTGCTCTCCACAGGCCTGGCCATGTGTGCAGAGAAAGAGTAATCACTCTGCGGATCCTATGTGGGGAAGTACTTTTGCTGAATATTTACTATATGAAAAATAATATTTTATTGTTTGATGGTAAGAAGACTCTTTTGGGGCTTCTAGCAGAGCTACATTACATGAATTTGTAGCCTTTTTGCATGGGAAAGTAGCATTTTTATTTTTAAAATAATACTCCCAATTTATTTTACTTCTTAAAATCTAAGTCTTCATACCCAGTCATGGCCACCCTGCTTCACCCACAGAAGTAAAAACATTCATACTCATGATGATTATGTTCCAACTATAATTTAGTGAATAAGAAAATATTCTGGGAGAGAGAAATGTATCACTCTATAAGCACTGTAGAAATAGAAATTTTCTTTTAGTTTGTGGTTCTAACAAACACATTCTGAATAGGAAATAACTTCTACAAAGGCAACTCAAGAGGCCTAAAATTAGGACCATCCTTTGAGTTAAGTAGAATATAGTATCCAAAGGTTAGAATATAATGAGACTACACATTTTCATATCTGTCCTTTCATAAGGGAAATAGAGAATTGAAAATTAAACTCTTACTAATAGGATTCTGGATATTGTCTTTGTATATTTTGAAAATATAAGAGAAATGAAATTACAACTCAAAGCAGCTTTTAAAGTTGTAATGGAATCATGCTTACTTGAAATGTCCATGCGCAGGCTCAATAGACTGCCCATAACATTATCTAGCAAAAATAAGAGTCGGAGAGAAAACTGTTTATTGTGTGGAGTTGCTAAATACATATATACTTCAAAACAGGGCAACAGATGTGGAACAGCTGCTCATTACCCATAAGGAAGGGGGAGTCTGTCTTCTTTGAAATTATTTATAAGCTGCTTCATGTTCAGGTCTAATATTTTTTTCTTTGGGGTAAATAGAATTAAGCATTCATGATCAGAATTTTAAAGTATATGTTGATTTGCAACAACAACACTCACATATATCACATAATCAAAATGCTTCACACTTTAATTATAGCAATATTCATGAGGGTCCTGTTACATCTAGTAATTATAGTAAACACCTATCAAATGCTTACTATGTGCCAGGCACCACTCTAAGTAATTCAACTCATTTGATCCTCACAACTACCTTCAGAGGCAGGTGCTATTCTCATCTTCATTTTACAAAGCTCAGAGAGGTTATTAACTTGCCTAAGATCACATAGCTAGTAAATGGTGTTTGCTGCCTGGATTCAAACACTAGCATTCTGATTCCAGAATCTATACTTGGCTCAACCATCACATTATATATTGCTGTTCATAAAACAAAATATAGACTATTTCAGGCATGTATGCTATGTAGTGTGTGACAGTCATCACCTTAAAAGAGAAACTTTCTGACCAAGAGGATTATCAGTCAGAATAGGCTTGGCTAAGATGCGGAAACAAAAGTGACACAATAACATGACATGCCCAAGGTCGGTCAGCAAGAAGCCCTGCTTCCCCAGTTACCTAGGGACCTAGACCTCAGTTTTCTCTGGCAGGGGAAGACAGGACATGGCAGTGGCACCACAGTTCCTAAATGTCTCCGCTCAGAAGTCTCATATTTCAGAAGTAGAAGGAGGAGGAGGAGAAGGAGGAGGAAGAGGAGAAGAAGGAGAAGAAGAAGTCGTCTCACATCTCACTTTCACTTACATTTCATTGGATGAAACTAGTTGCTTGGCTGCACCTACCTGCAAAGCTGTTGGGAAATGTAATTAACCAGCAGAAAAATATTAGAAAACAGCCACTGACCAAAGAAGAATAAGAAGATTGTAAGAAGCATTTAGCTACTCTGACTGTTTAGCTACTGTAAATGTTACAGAAATTTAGGAGACACGGTATGGCCATATTTCCACAAAGCATTTGACAATAGTGTCAAGAGGACAAGACAAAGAAATGATGACCGGAAGGTCTTGTGGTTAAAGGACAACGATGGCCCCTAAGGACACAAGACACAGGGCAGCCCCTCGCAGAGGCCTCAGCCTGATCACTGGTTCTAAGTCCAGAAGCAACAGATGGCTGGAACACCTGAATGTTCAGGTGTCTCTCTCACAACAGTGATATTTAAATCAGATTGCTAAATTAATTGATTTATAGTAACAGTAAAGGTGGAGAAATCTTCTTATTTTGGCAGATACATTTGGTATTCTGGCTGATTTGTAAATTCTGAATGATATATAAATTCTGTATATGCATCGTATAAAATCAGAGAATATATGAAAAGAGCAAGTAGAGAGAATAGATTGTTTTCATTACCATTGGCTTAAAACTAGGAGAGCCCTGAGCTATGCCCGACTACCAAGGCAGGTCCACATATAAGAACTGGTGAGAATGGCATCTTGGATACAGCCAAGCCTACTTTGGGTCAGTCTGCCATTGCTTCAGCTGTCAAGTGGAGGGAAGGGCACACCAGATCAGGGATTCATGAAGGAACAAGAGGATGTGGCTCCCGGTCCTTCTCTGGTCCTCTCAGAGACACACCCTGCTGTCTGAGCAGATTATGAGAAGTAAGTGTGGATTCTGCCAGCTTGGAGGATCCCAGAACTTGAAGTTCACTGCCTTCGTGCAGTCCAGGGCTCGGGAAAGGGAGTAGCGGCGGGGACATAGCCGTGCCACGAGGACTTCACATCTGAATTCCAGACTCATCGTTTCTTTTCTTTTTAATTTTGGTAAAATATACTAACATAAAGTCTATCACCTTAATCACTTTTAAGTGTGCAGTTTGGTGATATTAAGTACATTCACATTATTAAGCAACCATCACCACTATCCATCTCCAGGACTTTTTCATCATCCCAAACTGGAACTCCGCACCCATGAAACCATAATTTCTTAATTTATTTTTATGAAAGTATAATTGACATGCAATACCCTATTCATTTCAGACGTACATCATAGCAATTTACTATTTTTATACATTACAAAATGATCCCCATGAGAAGTCTAGTTACCATCTGTCACTATGCAAAGTTATTACAGTATTATTGACTGTATTCCCTATGCTCTACTTTATATTCCCGTGACTTATCTTCACCAAAGTTACAAAAACCTAGGTACCCCTGTGTTTTATTTCTTGTCTGTCTGCCGTCTGCTACAAGGCTGTACTCATTTACACGTGGCTATACCTACCTGGAGGACTGAACACTCGTCTCCTGGTTAGGGTTGTAGGCACACAGAACAAATTTCTCTGCTCCCTGACTCTGTTCCCCAGAACATGAACATCTGATCCCTGCATGACCACATTCTTTCTTCCAAGTTAGTATTTATTTATAACAAATTTGGACAGTAAATACATTCATTTTTAGTCCATTTCTGCTATAACAAAATACCAGAGACTTGGTAGCTTATAAACAATAGAAATCTGTTTTTCACCTTTCGAGAGGTTGGCAGGCCCAAGGTCAAGATATCAGCTGATTTGGTGACTTGCAAGGGACTGTTTTCTGGCTTATAAACAGCACCTATTGCTGTGTCCTCACAGGGTGGAAAGGGGGGCAAGGAAGCCTTCTTGGGCCTCTTTCATATGGTCACTAATCTCTTCATAAGGGCTCTGTCCTTATGACCTAATCACTGCCCAAGGGGCCTAAGTTCCTAAGACCACATCACATGGGGTATTAGTTTTCAACATATGAATTTAGCCAGGGAGGAATACAAACATTTAAACTATAGCACGCTCTTCATAGAGGCGTATGCCTTATTTATCACAATAAGGGTTTCTCAAGCTATCTCGGGTATTTATTCATAGATTACTACTACAGAAGAACAATCTTATTCTTATATGTATTTGTTTTCTAATTTAATTTTGAAAAGTATCTTAACTGGATGATAGGAAAATACTCTGTTCCTCCTTCCATTTATTATCTACAGATCCTAGGTCAATTAGACAATCCAGATCTGGTCAAACAGCACTACAGATGCTGATGGAGAGGGGGAAACCAGCCTGGACAACACCCTCTGGAGGCATGTTTTAGGTAAGACTCAGTTCTTGGCCCTGTTCAACTAAGAAGTTTATCCCTTAACTGGATAAAACTATAAGATCAATATGGATCAAATTGTTGAATAACTTCAAGCAAGGAAAGAAATGTAAGATTTCAGAAACAGAATCTAAAAAGGGCTAGTGAGATGAAATGATGACCTCTAACACTGAGACTGGATGGTGGTGGTAAATTCAAGGCTCTGAACCTGGATCCCAAGCTTCAACTACTCAAGGGCAGGGCAGGGGTCATGGGTTTTGTAAATGCTCACTCATCTGACTTTGCTCTTTTATACTTCCCCGGCTTCCTTGTACTTAGGCTTGCTAGTGACTGATTCTGACAGTGGAATGTGAGTGGAAGTGACATATGTCACTTCTAAAATAAAGAAGCTAAAGATCAGGTGTGCCTTTCCCCACATTCCCTTCCTCCCTTCTGCAGCAGGATGATGCCAGGAGACCAAGAAATGACAAGTTGGAGGAGCCACTAGATGAAAGCAGCATATTTCCTTAGTCACCTCTTTGAAGTGAACAGCTCAAGTCTCCCTGGAATAGGATGTGAGGAAGAATATACCTTGATTCTGTTAAGCTATTGAGATCTTGGGGTGGTTTGTTTACATGTGAAACACAGTTAAGGATTTTAGTTGGCAGTAACTTTATATGAATCAACTAGAAGGATGCTTCCTATTCTTAACTTCTCAGTAGCACTTGACCACCAGCCCCTCCCTCTTAATGGAGATACTGATTTCCTCTGGAAATTTCAGCACTTTCTAGGTTTTGTTCCTACCTTGCTAGCTGCTCCTTTCTCTTTCTTTGCCTTTTCTTCTCAAAGGCTATTAATTATGGTGAGTTTCTCTAGGTTCAGTGTTCTGTCCTTCCCTCTTTTTATTTGATGTTCTTCCATATGGATTCAATTACCATCTATATGCAGAAGACTCACAAATTCATTTCACCATCTGAGGACACTCTTCTGAACTCCAGACACACATAATCAAACTTTCTCCTTGATATTTCTTCATGGACTGTTCAATGACTCTTCTTACAAAACTGTACTCATAATCTTTCCTCCCAAATCTGGCTCTCTTCCAGTGTTTCCCACCTCAGTGAATAGCACACCACTTCTCCAATCACACCAGACAAAAGCTGTACATCCATGAATCCCTCACCTTTATCTAACCCTTCCCTTCCCCATTTTATACGATCCATTATCAAGTTCTACCAATTTTCCTTCTAAATACTTCTCAATTCCATTATCCTCTTGCTAGCTACACCAAGCCACCTTGCCACTATCTGTTACCCAAGTTCCTGCAATAGACTTTTCACTGACCCACGTGCATATACTCTGGTGTCTTCTCAATCCACTCTTCATGGTAATCTTTTAAAAATTAAAATTTCATCTCCCTCCTGTTTAAAACTCCTCACGGTTTCCCATTTGTTGTATTAGGCTGAAGGCAGAACAGGGCCTGGCACCCCCTACTTTCTGGCTGACCTCACTTCCTACAGCCTTCCTCTTTCTTTGCTCCATTTGTGTTGGACTTCTTTCCATACCTCATACCTTCACAAGGGTTTTTCCTACCCATTCCCACTGCATATGCTTGTCTCCAAGACAATTTTCTGTCTTCTCATCACCCTATTAGCTCTATCCTTCTTTCAGCATCCTGCTCAAGAGAAGTCTCTTTGAGCTCCCTGATTATCTCAAATCCTCTAACTACAGGTTTTCATAAGACTGTATACCTTTTCTTAGGACTTATTACAGATGCAATATTACATTTATTTGTCAGATCATTTGTTCTTCTCTGTATCCTTCACTAGATTATAAGCTCTATGAAAGTAGTGGCCATGGTTTTTTTTTGCTCATTTTTATCTCCAGCACCTAATACAGTGCCAAATATAGATTATACTCTCAGTATTTGCCAAAGGAAGAATGGAAGGAAAGAAGGTAGAAAGGAAAGATGCAAAAAAAAGAATAAATGAAAGAAAAAAGAAAGAAGACAGTTGCTTTCTTCTCTGTAGTTGCCAATTTGCACCTGGAGAATTGGGTTAGGTTGTGAGTACCATAGTTTGAGACAAGAACAAACTAGAATATATTCAGAAGAGAGAAACCAAAAAAGTAAGGGAAGGCCAAGTTGGGAATCAGCACCAGATAGGTAATTGGAGGTGTTTGGTTTTTTTTACAATTTCTTATAATCAAGGGATTCTATTTTTTTTTTCAACGTTTATTTATTTTTGGGACAGAGAGAGAGACAGAGCATGAACGGGGGAGGGGCAGAGAGAGAGGGAGACACAGAATCGGAAACAGGCTCCAGGCTCTGAGCCATCAGCCCAGAGCCCGACGCGGGGCTCGAACTCCCGGACCGCGAGATCGTGACCTGGCTGAAGTCGGACGCTTAACCGACTGCGCCACCCAGGCGCCCCAAGGGATTCTATTTTAAAGAAAAATATGATGTACTATTTTATGATGTGAAACAATTTACATCATTTCTCTTTTGCAAATAAAGGAATTTAAAAGAAAAACACCTTCAGGTTTATAAATAACCTTCAAAATCTATTACTGGGCAAAAATACATGCAAAAATTCTGCAATGTCTCCATGCACACATATTGATTGACACTTTTGTCCCCTTTTCCAGCTTCCTATTTCTATACTAATATAATGGAATTATCTGCTTCAATAAATCTCGTGAGTATTCTCCTGTGAACATCTACAGTTTAATTCAGGAGGGATAGTTTATAATAATTATCAAAACCATTGTTTTATGTTAGGTAGAATTATTGCCTGATTGCTTCTGAGTTTGATTTTTTTACTTTTAATAATATTGCATATTAATATGAAAGTTATAGTCATGTAGTCCTGAATTTTTTAAAAAAATATATAAATACACATGCACACAGTAGCAAAGTTAAAATTAATAACCAGGTTAGCTACCAACTTGGACATTGATAAAAGTGACCAACCAAATTATAGAACCATCTGTGATAGTCATTTATTGGGAATTTCCAAGTTCCTAAAAGTTGTTGATATTTATCACAAAATATATTATATGCAAAACATATTTTGCAGTTTTTTCACTTGTATTTCTTTTTTTATCATTCAGAATTTCACAACGCCAAATATATCCTTTTCACCACTTCAAAGCCTTTCAACTGCATACCAGAGGACCTTTTTTTATTTGTTTGTTTCACCACCAGTGAAAATAGAGGAAGAATCAAATGACTTGATTCTGGATTAAGGAAGGATCTTATCTGAATCAAAGGAAGGATATATACTCTGCAGCACTTAGCTCACAGCAGAATATCAAACTGGATCACCTCAGTCAGTCACCAAGGGCTTCATCAGTGACTATGTTAAGGGAGCAGGAACAAGACTGCATTCCACATGGCCAATCACATTGGCAGGAGAGCGGGGCACCCACCATATGTGGGGAAGAGGTCTGGATTCAAGCATTGCTCACAAGAACATGGTTGAGGAACAACTCAGAAATCACATGGGACTGGCCTCCAGCTTCAGATCTCCAAATAGGTAAAGGTCAAGGATAAGGCCACTGGCAAAATCTTATGGGATTGTTTTAGAACAGAGTCCAGATCAGCTGCACTCCTGAATGGATCAGAGTCAGAAGGAGCCAGCACCATAGAGTCAAGAGCAAAATTGCTTCAAATAAGCCTTAAGTAAATAGAAGGAATTTAGAATCTCCCCAGGTAGTGGGCAGAGAAGAATGTGAAAATAAAATGATCGCATTGAGCTATGAAAGTCATATGTGAATCAGAAAGTTAATGATTAAAAAAAAACACTTTTGTGTCAGTTACATTCATGTATCTTATGAAAGTATTCTAAAGAAATGAACCTTGACAATAAAAAATTGTATGGCTAACAGACTCAGATCCTCTCTTCATCATTCTTGCACAAATCTGGCCATTGGCAGCATCTATGGAATGAAGAACAAGGAATGAAGATTTAAGGTTGCAAAAAAAAAAAAATTCTGAAATCCCTTTTAAGAAATATTTTTTAAATGTACTTGGCCATCTTATCAGAATAAATACATTTATAAACATTGTTACCAGGTAGCAAGAGGTGATCCTGTCCAATGTTTGCAGAGATTTTAGGGTTGGCAAATATAGTGTAAAATTTGCAAAGATACTGGGCTAGGAGTATGTTTACATTGGATAAGTGAAAAAGCCCAGCTAATGCAGTGAGCTTCATTAATGTCGACAGTCAATTTGAAAAATATAGGCCCCAAAGTTCACTCTGCTTATCAAAACTTTTGGGTCAAAATTATTAGGAAAAAATATTTCAACTCACACCTCTCTTGGGTTTTAAGGGAAGGGGTGTTAAGTTTATGAAATATCAAATATTTGTTACTTGAAAAGATTAAAAGAAATTCCACTTAAAAATACTTGCTGGCAACATATTCTATGATTATTTAAAAAAATCCATTAATGAGGTGTGTGTGTTGGTTAGGGGGTGTTTAACAGCCTTAGACCTTGTAAGCTTGAAGTAGTCACATATTACTTGCAGTAATTCTTGGAAGTAACACATGTAATTCAACCCTGAATCTAAACCTCTAATCATTTAGTTTTGACAACTTCTGTTTAGCGTGTTCTGCCAACAGCATATTAATTAGATGTGACCCAATGGTTCCAGGTCATTGCAGGAAAGCAAACAAAGCTTCAGAGATTACATGCTAAAACCCAACCATCTTCTTGGCTGCTTTGTGAAATGAAGGGAGTGAAAATCTAAAGTAATTCTCATAAAGACCAGCAGCATGAGGACAAAGAAGAGACCAGGGATGCATGGATTACTACGATTATATGTCTCTATGAATTGTTTACGTTGCCTGCATAAACCTATTCAGAGTGGTCTTCACACACTCCCCATACAATCTGCTGAGTTTCTAAGGAAAACATAGAAGACTAAATAAACAACTTTGATTCTGCAAAACAGTTGGTATAGAAAGAACACTTACTGTGGCGGTCATTGAGTAATGTATAAAACTGTCAAATCAACATGTTATACACCTGAAATTAATATGATGTTGTATGTTAATGATATTTCAATTTTAGAAAATCCAACCATTTATCTGGGCATATCTAAGTGTTCTAAATATGAAACAGTATTAGTTTGCTAGGCTGTCGTAACAAAGCACCACAGATTGGGTTGCTCAACCAACAGCGATTTATTATTTTTTTTAAGTTCACTGCTAAGTAATGGAAGCGAGTGTGGAAAACATGTGTGCACCACAACAAGGAATGTAACTTAGTCACTCAGAGGAAAATTATTATATCGTCTGTCCCAGTCATATTGGTATTTCATTGGTATTTCAAAGTAGTTATTCCCCTAAAAGATTAATATCAAAATGATACTTCTCATCTTTATTATTATTATTATGGCAATAAGGGTCACTGGTGAAAATCAGTATTGATCAACAACATTGATTTGAATTAAACTTCTTGCAGCAAAAATCTTGGCAGTAGAAAAAAAGGGAAGTGATAGCAACAGGATTTCTATGATTGTAACGTTAATGATTAAAAATAAAAACACTAATGGAAAATAAATATCTATAGTATATTTTGGTTTTTTGTTCCTAGATCGTTACAGCAAGAGGTATCCTGACCTTTTAAGCAATTTTCCTGTCAGAAACACTAATTTCTTTCTATATTCGGTGCTGGGCAGGGATATAGATGCTTTTGCTTTTCCCAGCATGTGGTATTGACTTTGGAGCAAAACTTAAATGGAACCCAGATGTTTCTGCCCTTAGCCCCAACTCTTGCCTCCAGGCCTGCGGTCTCCGGGTTTCCTTAGGCCAACCCTGATTCATAACTCAGCACCTTTTGGAATTCCTGGAAAAGAATCTACCCACTCAAAAGTATTATTGAGATATATAGACTTTATTGAAACCTCTGAGGGAATGGTTTGCTTTTCAAACTCCGTAACAAGCAACTTAAAAATTAATACAAAATCTTCTCCTAAGCTCTTAGACACCCTCCCCTGCTTCTACCCATCCTGGCTGAATTTTCTGCCCTCCTTCTGGAAACTCTGACAATTTCAGATTACTCCCCCATCTCCTGTGCAGTGCCATTCAACTCTCCCCACATCTTCCACGCCAAACATGGTGCACTTAAACGCAGCATGGCATTTAGGCAAAGGGCCCTCCAGGTAACAAGACACACTTGCTTTATACGGCAATTTATTGACCTATTAGGATCTCATCTTTCATACTAAGAAGTTCATCCAAGTGGTTTTTTTCCCCTATAAATATAAAATGTTCTCCCTAAGAAAAATTCTGTAGAATAAAAATTTCTCCATTTTTCTTTTTATTTATTTATTTATTTTTTTTTCCAACGTTTATTTATTTTTGGGACAGAGAGAGACAGAGCATGAACGGGGGAGGGGCAGAGAGAGAGGGAGACACAGAATCGGAAACAGGCTCCAGGCTCTGAGCCATCAGCCCAGAGCCCGACGCGGGGCTCGAACTCACGGACCGCGAGATCGTGACCTGGCTGAAGTCAGACGCTTAACTGACTGCGCCACCCAGGCACCCCTCCATTTTTCTTAATAAAAGTCACTTTCCCTGATTCAGAAATTCCAATAGCCTATAACTACACTGTAAGAAATAACAAGGAATGTGACAATCCACAAACATATCTATCAACTCCCTAGAGATCTGTCTCCTAGAATAAATTCTAAAAAATTCTAATTTCAAAGTATAAATTTCCACATATGTTTTGGTCTATCTAGAAGATCTGGTGTTAAACAGATATGCTTGTTTTGAAAATGACCTTTGATCACCCAACATTATTTCCCCATTCTACTCCTCAAGATTACATATATTTTTTAGAAGAAAAGCCTCAGAAAATTGCATATCTCATAAGTTCATATCAATAGGATCCAAAATTTTTAAAGAAGCAGATTCATCTAGTAAAATAACTTACTCAAAGATCTTCTTTTCTTGTAATAAACCATAGCAAAGAGAATTTGGACTTGCAAATGTGTATGTTATGGCATAACTAAGATATAATTAACAAAATGAAATAAGCATTAGAATATGAATCTAAGATGGGCCTTGGTGGAGTGATGAGGAGTGGGGGTAAGGGTAGCATGGAGTGGGTGGAAATCACACCTGTTTGATTTTCCACTTGTGTGCTGTGACACCATGTGAACTTAGTGTCAGAGCTTCAGGTCTGACTCTGGCTCCCTCTATAACATTAGTGAATTATGTCATCTTTTGAGTTCCAATTTTCTCATCTGTCAAAGAGGGCTAACAAATCCTACCTCATAGCATTATTGTGGACATTAATTATATGAGTATTTTACACATGGGAAGACATTAAGGCAATGCAATTGGAATTTCATAGATGCAGAAAATGAGCCTCTTCTTCCTATGCTCAACTCGGGGTGCCTCTTTGTGAGCCCCCCAGATCATCTGTGCTTAACACTCAACAAGCTTCCAAGGAGATTGTTTTGATCCAATATTTTGTCTAAAATTTGCTAGGTTAGCTCTGGGGCCACATTCTGACTTTCACGGGCCCAGGCACTTTTGCCCTTGTGGGCTCCTTCCTCCATAAAAGCATATTCAAAATTATGTTTTCTGAATGTGTTGGCATAAAGATGAACACAACCTGGGCTTCATCTATTTTTATATACTTATTATTATAATACTCATTTTTCTTCTGGTTTTTTTAAAGGAGTGAAAACATTTTTGTGGGCCTCTACAAGTATCTTGGGCCCTGGGCACTCTACCTACTGAGCCTACTGGATAAGTCAGCCCCAGTTAGCTTCTTGCTCCTCTTGGAGGCTCCAACTTTTCATTTGTGGTACTTTTTCTCAAGTTTTTAAGGAAAAGTCTCACTCCCCTCTCTTCTCTTACTCTTTGTTGTACACATTAATTTTCTCTAATCTCTCTTCATAGGCTCAAACCTCTTATCCTTTTATCATCTGGTTGATTTCCTTGGGTGCCTTTGAATTCTAGCCAAGGTATTGATGTTTCTCTTTGGTTAAGTGTAAAACTGTATATGATATCCTATGCCACCTGATGTAGGCCATATTGAACAAAATGATTTATTTCCTCTTCAGACATGTGAAACTCTACTTTTTGAACTTTTCTAAGTGCATTTGGGCTTTTTAATTTTTATTTGTTTTTAGTAGCTGTCAAGGCATATTTAATTTCTTCTGAACTCTTACCCTCAGATTTTACT